AACAGGAGTTTAACGCCCCCACCGCGACCTCGTGATCATCGTTCTCCTTCACCGCTGCGTCGCAAAGCACCCTCTTCGCCACCGGAAAACTAGCCAGCGCGGCCAATGGGGGTGAGGTCGCTGGAAACGTGCTACTGAGAGAAATACCTCCTGTGTGTATGTATAAAAACAAAGTGCGTGTTTTGGTGGATCATGTGCCTGTGATGGCCTTGGTGGACACAGGTGCAACGATTTCCGTGATGAGTGCTTCCTTTAAAGACGTGTTAGGGTGGAAAGTTGTTTTTACCTGGGATGAAACTTCGACGTTTTGTGGAGTGAGTGGAGAGCCATTGCGCCCTATTGGTGTGTGTGGTGCTGAGGTATTTTTGGGAGGCCTTATGATAACGACAGAGTTTGCGATTATTCCTCGGTCGACACATGATGTCATTCTCGGCATGGACTTCTTGCGAGAATGTGGTGCCACTGTAGACTGTCGCACGGGGAAAGTCTTTGTGAGTGGCCAGATGCCTTCAGAACTTCTGGACACTTCGGCAAATGACCAAACTACGCTGTGTGTCTGTGGCGATACGTTCATACCTGCGTTGTCTACCGTACGTGTTCCTGTTGTTTGTCGCGGCGTGGATTCTGACAGCTTCAATGCGAGCGTAGAACCAATGCACATAAACTGCGTGAAGAAGAATGTGTTGGTTCCCCATTGTGTGGTGTCGATTGATGGCGGACGAACTGGCCTATGGACTGTAAACTGTTCCTCTGAGCCCGTGACACTACCCAATGGTTTGAAATTAGCTTCGGTCAGCAAAGAACACGTGACCTTATCAGTGGTTGAGCTCACAGATGTGCCGGAAGAACGTGACGGAACTGGTTGTCACAATTTGGACGGGGCGCTTATGGCAAAGATAAATAAGTCGCTTAGCTCAAGCGAGCGCCGAACTTTATTGAATGTGCTGTTGAAGCACGTTTCGGTATTTGACTTTGCACAGAAGGGCAAAGTAGCCCCTATCCCCCTGTCTCGAACGCGCCATACCATCAACACTGGCGCGGCAAGTCCGATTCGCCAAAAACCATATCGTGTTTCCCCGTCAGAAAGACAAATTATCAACGACCAAGTGCAGGAAATGATGCAAAAGGGAGTGGTACAAGAGTCAGCCAGTCCGTGGGCAGCACCGGTAATCCTCGTTAAGAAGAAAGATGGATCTTGGAGATTTTGCGTCGACTATCGCCGACTGAATGCAGTGACTAAAAAGGACGTATACCCGCTGCCACGTATAGAGGACGCAATAGACTGCTTACATTCGGCCTCTTATTTTTCCTCCGTAGACTTACAATCCGGTTATTGGCAAATTCCGATGCACCCAGAGGACAAGGAAAAGACTGCCTTTGTAACCCCTGATGGGCTCTTTGAATTCAACGTGATGCCATTTGGACTGTGCAATGCACCGGCCACGTTCGAGAGGTTTATGGACACCATCCTGCGTGGCTTGAAGTGGAACATCTGCATGTGCTACCTCGACGATGTCGTCATCTTTAGCCGCACGTTCAGTGAACACAACTCTCGTCTGGACACTGTTTTGAACTGCATCCGAAACGCTGGCCTAATTTTAAACTCGAAGAAATGCCACTTCGGAGACCGCCAGACGCTCGTGCTCGGGCATCTCGTTGACAAGGATGGCATCCGCCCTGACCCCCAGAAGACAGCAGCAGTTGAGGCGTTCAATGCGCCGCGTTCCGTCAAGGAGCTTCGTAGTTTCCTGGGGCTTTGCTCATACTTCCGCCGCTTTATTCCGAAGTTTGCCGACATTGCGTACCCTCTCACATGCCTCTTACGAAAGGACAATTCCTTTGAGTGAACTCCGGAGTGCTATTCTTCATTTCGTCAATTGAAGTTTTTGTTGACGTCACGACCCGTCCTTCAGCACTTCAGTCCTTCTGCTCCGTACAGAGCTTCATGCGGATGCTAGCGGCATAGGTATTGGAGCCGTCCTAGTACAACGTTACGGCGACCGCAAACGTCAGTTGCATACGCAAGTCGCTCCCTAAGCAGGCCGGAACAAAACTACACTGTTACCGAACAAGAATGCCTGGCGGTATTATTTGCAATTCAGCGGTTTAGGTCTTACCTGTACGGACGCCCATTCACAGTCGTAACCGACCACCACTCGTTGTGTTGGCTTGTCAACCTTCGTGACCCTTGTGGCCGCCTTGCACGCTGGGCACTCCGGCTACAAGAATACAGTTTTACCGTCGCTTACAAGAGTGGTCGTCGACATGCTGACGCGGACTGTCTTTCACGTATGCCACTTAGCACAACAGATTGTGAATCCGGTGACCTTGACCAGCTTGTAGCGTCTGTTTCGCCTACGTTCCCGGACTATCCCAGTTTCAGAGCAGAACAGCGGAAAGATGCTAAACTAGCACCACTATTCGCCGCTGCATCCGCTTCCACTAGTGCACGCCGTTTCTGTATGCGTGATGGACTGTTGTTCAAAAGGAACCTCTCCAGCAGTGGCGCGCGTTTCCTTCTAGTGGTCCCGGAGAGCCTGCGAACAGTTATTATGAGTGTCATGCACGACGACCCTACATCTGGACATTTAGGTTTGGCGCGGATGCTTCACCGGACTAAAGAGCGCTTTTATTGGCCTGGTATGCAGAAGTCTGTTGAGAGTTATGTGGCAAGCTGCATGCAATGTCAGCGTCACAAACGTCCATCAACTGGTCCAGCTGGTCTTCTACAGCCGATGCCTACTCCAAGCGCACCTTTCGAACAAGTGGGCATTGACTTTCTGGGCCCCTTCCCAAAATCGGCTAAAGGCAATCGATGGATAATTGTTTGCGTCGACTACCACACACGCTACTGCGAGACGGCAGCCGTCCCCTTCGCAACTACCAGTGAAGTCTCGTCGTTTTTGTTACAGTACGTCATCCTCCGACACGGCCCACCTCGCCTGATTATCAGTGATCGTGGACGACAATTCACAGCGGATGTCGTGGAGGAGCTGCTCCGTTTATGTGAATCCCGCCTGCGTCACTCGACACCATACCACCCCCAAACTAATGGGCTGACGGAGCGTACCAACCGCACCATTATCAACATGTTGTCTATGTATGTCTCATGCGACCACAAGAACTGGGATGACGTACTCCCGTTCATTACTTACGCGTTCAACACCGCGAAGCATGAGATTACAGGCTATAGCCCTTTCTTTTTGCTTTATGCACGTTCGCCCCGGCACACAATCGACACAATATTGCCTTTCTGTGACCACGACAACGTCACTGTCGCCGAGACTCTCTGCCTCGCCGAAGAGGCGCGTCGCATAGCTCGACTACGCACATTGGCATCGCAAGACAAAGCGAAGGCGCGCTATGACATTCACCATCGACCAGTGATTTATCGTCGTGGTGATCTGGTGTGGTTGTGGACTCCAATGCGCAAGCGCGGGTTATGCCAAAAGTTTTTGGCCACTTACGATGGACCTTTTGTCATCGTCGACAGACTTACAGAGGTTAACTATGTAATAGCTCGTCTCACGGCGAGTGGTCGACGAGCTGCCAAAACTCAAGTGGTTCATGTTGCGCGCCTGAAACTGTACACGCCACGACAACTCGACTGACTCGTCCGGCGGCCTTCGTCTGCGCGGAGAGGAATGTTGCGTACATGCACGAAGAAAAAGAAGCGTATACGGTGAACGCACTGGTCGCCCAGAGCGAGAGAGGAAGAAGAGGATCAGGAGAATCTTTAACCAGTCGGCCGCTTCTGAGCTGCCCCTCACGACCTAATAAACGGCCCCTTTCAACGTCTACCAGTCTCTTTCAAACGTAACAATATATTGAGGTTTGACTGTACAGTGCAGTCCACTTATAACGATACCACATATAACGATATATCGGTTATAACGATGGGTCGACCTAACAGTCTCATTTTATGCATTGGGGCTATGGGGAAAAAAACCATATATAACGATATGTTATCCACCGCATATCGGATACAACGATGAAAAGTTTGCCGTGGACGGCATGTTTCATTCAGAATAATCGTAACATTTAGATTGATAAGTTCCTCTGAAACGAACTATGCCGAGACAACACGAAAAGTTAGCGTAGGCGAGTACCTGCCGCCACTGCAGCACAGCGCCGGCAGCGCGTCCCAGCCGTGCAAAAAGCCGAGGAGAGCGTCGCGAGTTGGCGCGACGCGCTACAGATGGCGCCAGCTGTGTCACGTTTTGCGCCTCGCCGCGCGTCGACCGCGGAGAGGCTGAGAGAATTAAAAAAAAAAAATTGCGAAAAGCAAAGCGCCGCGCTCCGCGGCTCCCCGCCTTCTACAACGGCAAGCCGGCAAGCTACTCGTAGCTTGCCGAACCAAAGCGATAAGAGAGAGAAAATAAAAAAAGCGAAAAGCAAAGCGGCGCGGCGGCATCGGGGCGGGGCCTCGTTGGCATTCCGGCTGTGTACCTCTGGCTGTGCTTTCTTCCTCCCACTGCTCCCACCCCGCCGTCGGTCAGTCTCTCTTCCTCAGCGAACCCGTGATGCGTTCTTCGGAGTAAGAAATAAAGTCTTGTTTTTGACATCCTACTATCTACAATATTTATTAATTGGTGAAAATAGCGAAATGAAGCCTGGAGCTACAAAAGGTACGTCCGGCGACGATTTTTTGGCGGCAGTCCAGATATAACGATCACCGGTTATAACGATCATATTTTTAGGTTTTCTCGATATCGTTATAAGTGGACTGCACTGTATTTACATACAGAGACTGCAAGTATGGAGTTGTGCAATGTATGCTTGTACATATGACAAGCTCCAGGAGCACATAGAATGAGGACTTACCATCAATAAATTATATCCAGCCAAAAAATGGACGCACACAGGAAGTGGAGACAGGAATGCGACTAGCTGCTTTTCCGTCTTCACCTTCTTTCCCTGTGTACATAGGATTTTTGGCTGGATACAATTTCTTGAAGCAGTGCACTAACTAGCCAAACAACGAGTGTCATTAGACTCACCGTCAGTATTCAAGATGCCAACAATGTCCTCAACCTTGGGAGACTGGACGCCAAAGTAGCTGGCATCCATGGTGGCCGCCTCTTGGACGTCGAAATCTTCCAGGTCCAGGGCTTCGTCGTCCTCGGCCTCCACTTTCACTGGCAAGAGGCCATCTGGAAATCACAGGTGCACGAGACTCGTAAAGCTGCGACACGAAGCATCTGCAGGACGAAAACTCGAAACACGCAAAGAACACTTCCAGAGAAGCGTCAGGGCTTGCTTGTACTAGAAACGAAAACTGCATAAACAAGCTTGTTGGAAAAGATCAGTTTGGTTGGAAAGTGACGAGTACTCGCCTCTCCTCTTTCAGCCTTACGCCTGGACTTGCAAACCCAGTCAACTAATCCATGCAGAAACAAGATATTTGTATATGTTGATGTGTACCTTACATGGTGCTGACAGTAATACAGGCTGATATGAACAGCGTCAATCACAAGACATTTCGACATAGGGACGGTAGGCCACACTCGCTTGTGTGAACATTCGTCATCACAAAATGCTCTCTGGTTGCCACTTGTGCTGTGTCACATGACCTCCACCAGTTGTTGGTGTGAACGTACTTATAGACTGCAGCTAACCTTTAGACAGTGTTTTCATGAGCACAGAGACTTGTCCTTGCTTTCAAGGAGAGAGGTTACCCGTTGAAACGTTGGCACCAGGCTACGTTTTTTACTTGCTAAACCCAAGATGATAAATTTGATGGTTCAAACAAAGATTAGGCAAGTAGTAAAGCAATGTTAAAGTGGGCTCGTTTTAATGAACAAAAGCATGGCTAACTGGTATGTTGCAATAACTAGGCTTGTGCAAATATTTGAGTGCTTCAAATATTCAAATGAATATCACAGTATTTGTGGGTTCAAAATTATATTATAAAAAATTTCAAAGTAGTAGTCTAAATGAATGAATTAATGTATCCCTGTGTAATCCCTGTAAAAGTAGTTTCACAGCAGTGTAGAAGTGCTAAGCCAGAAAACATTTATTTAAATGTATATTGCCTGCATGTAACTTCCTGTAAAGATGGTTTTACTGCAGTAAAAAGTTGCTAAACTGTGAAAGCATTTATTTATAGGAAATCCGGACTGCCGCGAAGCCCCACTTCACGGTTAAATGAACTTATCACCCTCACATCGATTCATCGTTTCTGACGTTTAAAAGTTTGTTGTACTGGCTTATATGCTCTAAGTATAGCAAATATTAAAACGTAACATATTTCACAGGTTATCACAAGTCAAACTTCACAAGTCAAATCCGACTACTATTCAAAACTGTTTCCACTTCCTATGAACCAAAAAATGGCATTGCAAGGTCTTGTTTCAATTTTTTTTTTTTTTAAATGTTGTACTGGTAAGTCAAGACATTACAAATATGCTCATTTTCTACTATGTGCGATATTACTATTTGAATTCGATTCAAAATATTCGATTCAAAATATTTGCTTCGAACCTAAAATTCACTATTTGCATAGGCCTAGCAATAACTTATCACCAGCAACAAGACAAAAGAACAAAGGCAGCACTCTTGCCTTCAAGATTGTCAGAAGACGTGGAAACAATATCAACAGGATCACTCGCAGGTTCTGTCACATTGAGCAAATCATGCCGAAAAAGGTCACTCCCAAAGAGGTCTTGGTCGGTATTCCAACTGCACAAAGAAAAATAAAGGAAAAAAATTGTGGCATGAATCTCAAATAGCAACCCTTACTGCTCGGCACTAGAATATTGAAACCACTTTGGTTAAAAATGGCAAAGCTGCATGCAATGTTTTGAAGTTATGTAGATAAGTGATGCTTTTTAAATGAGGAACAGTCCTATGGCACAGTCGAATCTTGATAATTCGAACTCGAAGGGGCCCAAAAACTTGTTCTAATTAAAAGAAGTTTGAATTAATGAAAGCTAAATAAACAGAGGGCTCTCCATGCAGTGGCGCATGTGCATTGAGCTAACACATGAGGGGAAAGTTTAAGAACACTTACATTTATTCACAAATCACAGGACTTCTGTTATTAATTGAAGTAATCGGTGATGTGCGTTTGCACACGTTTGCCTTGCAGTGAGTCAATCGTTTTCGCACGCAGCTTACAAAGCATTTCTACTTCGGCTTCAGCATTCTCCTGGCAAGAGAAGTTGCGCGTGAAAATGTCCAGCGCCGACACTTTCTAAAGATGTCGACAACAATGACTGCTGCTTAGCAGGGCCTCCCGCTCTTCACTACACAGCCGCAGCACGGCCAGCACGCGACAAGAAAGGAGGAGTGTCTCCACGCGGAGAGAAGCAGATCGGTATTTGAGAGAAAACCACCGTGTAGGAAAAACTATTCTTACACCGTGGAGAAAACCAACACTCCACGGCAGCTTTTTTTTTTTGCTCTTTTCGCGCATGTCGTTGAAAGAAGAAGGGTTATGTGGCAGGGAAGGGAAAGGGGGAAGCCTGGCACCGGCGTGTGATAGACACACCCCCTCAAGATGCAGAGCCGTGCTCCCATAAGAGGCAAGGGCTGCAGAAGATAGTGCCTTTTTCCTTTCCTTCAATTACACAATCATTCAAACCAGCGACGGCTTTTTTTTTTCCCTCTCTCTCTTCGCGCGCAATGTTGGATGGAGAAGGGTCTTTACGTGGCAGGGCAGAAAAGGGAGAAGCGTGACGCGGGCGCGTCGCAGATCGGCATTTGAAAGAAAGCAAATATTCCCCCGCAGCCTTTTCTTTCCTTTTCATTTTCTTCGCGGGCAGCGTTGAGGTGTCGCAGGTGCCGTGACGAGATTGGGCGAGGTACTGAGAGCATTTTCAGAGCGCGGTATGTTCGAATTACCCGTCAGAAGTGCTTGGGCGTTCGAATTACCGGGCATTTTCGCCCATTGAAATACACATAGCTTTGACGGGACCTCATCGTGAGTTGGAATTAAGCGTGTTAGAAATAATGAGATACAACTGTATATGTGTTATGTACTCGCAAGAAAAATAAGAAAATTCGATTAAATTTATTTTATTTGCATCATAACGATACAGGAACTTGTGATACACAAACAAACGCTCCTCATTTGAAGGCACATGGGCTTCACAGCACGATTAACCCATCTCATGAAAGAAAAGTAAGCCTATGCAAATACTAAAGCACTTCGAATAGTTAAAGGAATGTTGGAGCATTTGAATTCGCTTGAACACAACTTTAAAATTTCAAAAAATTCAAAATACTCTCAAAGTAACTCAATAATAATACCTTAGGTTTTATGTTCTAAAGCCATGATATGATTATGATGGACGTCCTGGTGAAGGGCTCTAGAAATTTCGACCATCTGGTGTTCTTTAAAGTACACTGACATCACGCCTGCTTTTTGTAAATAAAGTCAGTTGGAAGTTCTGTACTTGTGCGTGTTTATGTGTTCTAGTTTCTATCCTGTCTCTATCGTGCAGTTTAATCCTTTTTGAAATTGTGAACCGACTGGCCTAACAACATGCCTTGCATCAAGTTTTGTTTGCACGAGCCCAGTTCTAACCTCTTGTGCCTTTAAAATGGGAATGTATGGATGAGGTTTCACTGGATATGACGAGTCCTCAGTAAAGTATTTTCTGCCACAATTTTTTAGTATGTTAGGTGCGTGATATGAACACTTACTGCAGTACATTTCAAACTTCACAAAATTCCACAGCAATTCTGTATGAACAAAGCTCTGTGAGCTTCCAAACAGTGTTAATCCTGTATAAGTGTGTTTAAGACAATATTCTTTTTATTTGATTAAAATGTAGAAATAGATGCCTTGCCCACATACTACTGATGGATTTGTCACTGTGTGTATAAGTACCTTCCATCTCATCAAGTCCCAGCTCTGTCAAACGCTGGCTGACAGTAGAAACCAACAAATGAGACGCTGTTGTGCCACTTAGAATGTCAGGTCACAAATGCATACCGAAAAACTTACTGGAAGTCTTCGGGTGTCATCAGGCTGTCGTGCATGTCGAACGATGAACTTGTTGTCGTGTCGTCGCCCGTGTCAACGGGCTCAGTCTTGATGTGGATCTTGTCAGGCATGTCTGAGTTGCAAGAGTCTACCACAGGCTGTGTGAAAATAGATACGGCACAAAAAAAGGTTAAAAAATATGGGCCCACTTCTTTGCATGGAGGCTTACTTCTTATGAAATTATTCGAAATTCAAATAAATATGTATGCTGAATATAAAATGTTTGAGCTTCTGAGTTTATGAGAACCTTTATTTGACAACACAAAAATAATTGTCAGCACTATCACACTGCTTTGATTGCTGACTAGTTGCACTTAGCATGTCACCTGCGCAGTTCACGGGACACCTGCTGTACCGCACGCACACTTTAGCCGCGACAGTGATGTTCGTGCCCACTGTGCTTACCGTACAGTGATTATTTTGTCGAGTCAACATGGCAATGGCAAGATTTCTGCAAGCGGCGCCAATGAACTAGCGGCCTTGTACAAGAAGGCAACGGTCAATGGCACTGCAGTGTGTTTGAGTCGACGCCAATTAAACGCATGTCGTACGCTTACAAGAACACTGCGCTTGCTAAAGCAACGTGCTCATTTGCCAGCGAGCTTACACTACAGCAAAGTCTCTTGGCACCCGTGCTGCTCTCGATCATGAAAGAAAGCAGTGATTACCTTGTTGAGTCAGCTCAGCAACAACCAGTTGTTTGCATTTCTGCGGTGCACACTTGCAATGTTGTTATAACTAGGCTTGTGCAAATAGTGAATTTTCGGTTCGAAGCAAATTAAAAGCAAATAGCAACAGAATCGAAAGTTGGGCTAGTTGGATATGCATGGTATAACTATCAGTTAAAGCACACGAAAAACAGACAGGAAGAGAGGACAAGCGCTTTCTTGGAGTTTAGTCATACTAAAAGCAAATAGTAATTTTAGTCAAATAATTTAAATCGAATTCAAATAGTGTATATATATATATATTGCACATTTTAAAGGAGAATGGCCATATTTGTCATGACCTTACCAGCCTGCAGAATATTTATAAAGGTCGAAACAAGCTCTACACAAATGCCATTTTTTCTTGCATCAATGAAATTGACAGCATGTAAAATGTGTTACTTTCTAGAATTTCCTGTACATGAAGCATATAATTCGGTATGAGGAGCTTTCAAACTGAAAAATATGAATTGATGTGAGGGTAATATGGGCATTTAACCTTGAAGTGGGGCTTCGCGACAATGTGGATTTGTCCTGGATGCGTGTTTTCAAGGCTTAGCAGCACTTCACTGCAGTGAAACTGCTTTTAAAGGGGGGGGGGGGGGGGGGTTGCAATTGAATATACTCCTACATAAAAGCTTACACGGTTTAGCACAACTCCACTGCAGTGAAGCCACTTTTACAAAGTGTACCAAACAATTTAATATGCATTTATTCGTTAGTTTCAAAATGCTCCAAAATTTGTATAAGTTTTTCTCGATTCGAGGTGAATATTGCATTATTCGTTTGAATATTGGAAGCATTCGAATATTCACAGATGCCTAGCTATAACCGTGATCTGATTGCGCACTTGCACAACAACGTGCAAATGTGTAATCACATTTGCGCATTGCTGTTAGTGATGGCTTGCACCCCTAAAGCTGATTCGCTCCATCTCTTGGAGTTTAGTCATACTCTGGGAGGAAGTACAGCTTTAATTAAGGCAGTAGATTTTGGAAAGCTGTAGCACAGGAATCTTTCAACTGGCCTACAATGACTCCTTTGCACACTGCCATGGAATGTTTGGTAGACAACCTTGCCATTTAATGAACAGGCTTCTACTAAGCAGCCTTATTTAATTTTTTCTTACCTTGATCAGAGCCCGCCTCTCCTTGAGGTGCATAGCTGCCTGAAGTGAACTTGCGGCATTACGTCGACGGGGAGTGTCCAAAACAGGCAGAGTCTCTTCTACTGTCACCACAGGGGCCATCTTTGCCTTTCGGCACATGGCCAGAAGAGTGGTGGGGCCCTCTGAAATGAAACGAATTGGTTCACTGAATTATAATGAATAAAGCATTGTGTAAAGTTGTTGCTGGAATTAATTTCAGCCGCAGGGGCTTGTTTTCCAAAGGCCAAACAGTGCTGTTTTTTCACAAATTTAGAAAAAAGAAAAGAGTGGGGACTAGTGCTCATATTCTCTGTAACAAGTTGCCGCCTGCACCTAAACAGCATAATGGAAGCACACACGATTCGACAGCAACAAAAAAATGTTGCAGCGCAGTGCCGACTTGTCGCCATCATTATACAGCCAAAACTACTTACTATGACGCAAGCTCTGACGGTATATCTGATATAATGATAGGCAGCTGCTCTGTGGTAACGTTCATGTGACTTATAAGGTGAAATCAGTTGCTTAATGCAATGTTTCTATTCTATATCAGCAGTTATTAACAAGTAAACCTGGATCCTGGGAGTCTGCACAAAAAGTAAAAGGAATATTTCGTGACACTTGAGTATTGTTATACTAAGTGGATTTGACTGTAATCCCAGCCTATGACCTCTGCAGAATGAAGGTCTGATAATAATTCTACTCTCTGAACTTTTGTCTACCAATAAACCACTATTGGTGGACTTTATGAACAGTAATATTTTACTGTTAGCGTGATAACGGAGGTTAAAGAAATGGCGTTACCCTGCAGCAAACCTTCGTTGTGGACAGCATCCTATAGTTTAGCGGGATAGCGTTTACGTGGTTTACATGCCCCAGCTGGGACGGTGGCACCACTTATCGAATGATTAATAAGTTGAACTGTGAAAAGGAAAGGAAAACTATATGTTTGCCTGTGCCACAGCACAAAGCATTGTTACAAGTTTATTTTAGTAATAACAAAAGTAAATAAATATGAACCACGCACCAAACGCGAAAAAATTTATATGTTGCCAATTTGTTAACATCGATCTTGTAGTTAGGCCTAGATGCATTCGAAATGGGAAGCTATCTCAAAAACTACGCCAACTTATCTATAATACTCCGTCATCGAAGCTAACTGAAAGCAACCGAAGCCACTTTAAACAGTTGTTTGCTGCGAACAAAGTAAATCTTTCAACAACTACGCCAAATCACTTTTAAGCGGGCATCCGAAAGCTCCCCCATGTTGTATGCATACTATGTACACCAACGCTACTACGGTAACGCTAAATCTGAAAAGTAGTGCGCGTACGGTAAGCGGTACGGGTAACGTACGTATCTGTGCACGCGCACTTTGATCCAGCTATCACGGTACGCTCGGTATTCCAGTGTACTTAACTGTTTAAAGTGGCGTCTCTCATAATCATATAGTGGTTTTGGGACGTTAAACCCCACATATCAATCAATCAATTATAACTGTTTAAAGTCTAAGTTGCAAAAGACAGTCATTATCAGCAGGCTTACACTTGGTTCTCATCACTGGGGCATTCTATACAACTTTTCGCAGGAGCACTCTCTAACCCCTGAGCTGCAGGGGCCGAGGGTATGCTCTCAGTGTTGTCATCGTGCCTTGGGCTGCGCATGACACACTTGGATGTAATACACTCAAACCTCGTTATAACTTATTTGAAGGGGTGCCACAAATTATTTTGCTATATTGATTATTTCGTTATATCGATTATAACAGTTTGTGGCAATGTATGCTCACATGGGCGCACACCTATAAGCATGCAAAGAAAGAAACCACCTCACGGCCCGATGTAATGCTACACGACCACGCATGCCACGGCAAATAAACACAGTCGAACCTCATTAATTCGAACATGCTTAATTCAAACTTCCAGTGAATTTGAACTCACACTGAGGTCCCATCAAAGCTATATGTATTCCAATGGGCAAAAACGCCCTGTAATTTGAACGTGCAAGCACTTGCGACGGTTAACTCGAACATACCGTGCTCAGAAAATGCTCTCTGCACCATGCCCAATCCTGTGGCAGCACCTCTCAACGCTGCACGCGAAGAAGAGAAAGAAGAAAAGGGAAGACTGCGGCGGATTGTTTGCTCTCTCTCAAATGTCGATCTGCGACGCACATGTGCCACGCTTCTCCCGTTCCTGCACGTAGAGACCCTTCTCCTTTCAAGGGCGCATGCGTAGAGAGTGGAAAAAAAAAGCTGTCGCGGAGAGTCCCCTTTTCTCGGTGCAGAAAGTAGCAGCGGAGACGCAGTCGCTGCCGTCGTCTTTAAGGCGCGGAGAGAGAAATCGCTTTGCACCACGGCGCCGCTTCTCGGTCATGTGACCCGCTGAGTGCTTCCTCAAACCTCTCCGCTGGCAGTGTGAAGAGGATGGCTCTCTCGGCCGCGCGTGGCGTGGCTGTAAGGTCGGCGCGAGGTAGTTTTCAAAGAGCCGCGCCGAACGAGCGTCAAACTCCGCAGAAAACCAGATACTTAACACAATACGGTCGTTTTTTTATAGATTATTTGATAGACTAATTTAGTTTGTTATATCCATCTACCTGTCAATTTTACTTCGTTACAATGAGGTTTAAAATGCATGGTTCTCACTAGAGCTTTCAAAGGCAATTTCATTTACTTCATTATATCTATTATTTCGTTATATCCCATTACGTTATAACGAGGTTTAAGTGTATGTGTAATAGGCACCCCCCTCTGATAAAAAGTGGCTGTCGTGGCAGGAAAATGTGCATACTCGAAGAACAAACCACCTGGCCATCACTGTGTCATGTACGGGTGCACGTGCAATCAGTGCAAGAGGAACAATTTGAGCGAAATTGTGTCTGCAGCACAGTACGCCACGCGATGTGTGCAGGTGTGTTATGTTCACGCTGCATTGCTTTTCGTCGTCGCCTGAATTGCGGAATCGGTGGGTGTCGTCAGTAAATCGAAAGAATGTCCGCGTGTCGCCATCGTCACGCCTCTGGTCATGGCACTTCATTGGCAGCAAGAAAGCAGATGAGAACAACATTCCTGAGCTGCTCTTTGGATACTGAAGGAAGGTACAGACGGAGTCACACGTGTCTACAGTGCCCAGCCGGCCGCTTTAATTGCCATTTTCAGCAAAAATATGCAAATACCGATGCTGAAATAATAGGTAACATAGTTACATCGCATGCACTTTTTTGCTATAATTAAAGCATGAGCGGGAGCTCGGAGCTAATGTGAAGTAGCAGCCGGGCGCAACAGCGTCCCCAGCCACGCACCCCGCTGCTCTAGACAAGTGTGACCATGTATTTATGCGAATCGCTGAAGGTACTGCGCTTACTGCTGCTAGTACCGACAACGAAGCACCGCCGTTCACAGACGCAGAGCTCATTCTCGCCTTTGCGCCGCTAAATGATTCAAACAGTGGCGAATTGATGAGTGGCCGCGATGATATCACACAAAACTGTCTAAGTGAACGAAAAATTGGCGAACGCAGACTTCAGTAGAGATCTCACACCAACGATAGGGCGCCGATTCAAGTTTAACGGCACCAAACTTGTTAATTTGGTCATACTTTGCCACAAACCCAGCTGATTCAGAAGACCTCGGGAGAGCACCGAGCTTAGACCACTGCAAATGTGCAGCACAACATGGTGAAAACAACGTTCGCAGACAACCGAAACAGGACGGTGTAGTCTGCATTGCCATCGTCATCATTATGAACAGCATAGTAACGGCAGAAAAACCACAACCCTCCATGCCTCTTTGCGTTTAGAATGCGTGATGCCTTTTTTGCCTGCGAGTGCTCAAAAGGCATCGCAACAATCGAGTTCTTGGCGACCAGGACGTCAGCGACTGCGACAAACTTTTTCGGTTTACTGGCAAAAAAAAAAAAAAAAAAAAAAAACTAACGTCACGTGTGCGTGGTGATGGCATTGGTGGCACTACACAATAAGGTAGGGTGCCAAGCATCGTTTCGGGTTATTTAAGACATGACGTTCTTTCATTACAGTAGAATTATGAAAGAAGTTGCAGGAGGACGTGAAATGCAGCTTCAATTCTGCTGTTATAAAAATAAGTACAGAATTTACATATTGAGGGGCAGACTGGTTTTAGACATTTTTTGTTTATTTCTTCAGTGATCTTGATCAAACTGCACAGGATTATGCAGTTCTTTTTCCTCTGATTTCAAATATTTAATTAGTTTTCCTGTAACTCATCTTGTTCCTGAGATAACTTAAGTTTACCCTCTACTGTTTAAAGCCACCATAAAAAAGTGCTTAATTAAAAGTGATATTTCATATATGCCAACATAGACTAATGACTATAGATTGAAAGTATGCAAGTTTTTTTTTTCTTTTTTTGCTTATTTTACAGTAAAATCAACTATCCAAGTTCAAAAGCAGTTGTATTATGTTACAATTTTGATGAGTAATTAATTAAAAAGACTTGTGCTTTAAATTCTGCTCCCATACTTAAATTCTAAACACATACAAGTTTCCATTGCAAAAAGAATTATTGTTGTACCTGCTCTAGCTGCAGAGATGTTGAGGCTTCAAATTGAACAGTCATAAATTTGCTTTTTTTGAGAAAAATGAAAAAAACTGAAAACACACATCTTCTTCAAAAAGCAACAATCATGGTGCACATGTTTTGCAAAGCTCATAAAGACGCTTACAAATTCATAGCAGAGCTTCTAACATAGGTCTCGGCAAATTTTAAAGAAGCCTTGAAGTCTGTTCCCAATTTTTTTGCAGGTTCTGCATGTTAACAGCACCAAGAATCTGGACAGTCAGAATGACATTACAAAAAAATTACCACTTCCTGGTGTGTGAAAATTTGCAGAGAGAGAGAAAATTGCTTGCAGAAACCAAATATGTCAATTTTAAAAAATAGATTTTTTTGTCACTTTTTGGTCTAAAAGACTTTACCATGAAAATTGCAGCTGGTTGATGTCATAGATGTCACAGGTTTATGTTACTTTTTTTTGGCACTTTCGATAATTCAGGATTCAGTTTTTTGAACGATCTTTCCAGTCCTGGGTAATCTGAACTAATGAGCTTTTACTGTACAGTGAAATCTTGTTTACACAATCCCGCTTAATATATTTCTCGGCAGAATACATTTAGTTTATTCTAGGGGTAATGCATTGTTGTATAGCTAACACAATCACAGTTCCGCATGGGCTTGAATTATACAATTGCAAAAATGTTGGAGACCTCGTTTGGTTTCATTTTTCGCACCAATTTGCACCATGTCTGCGTGGCGCCGGTCTATTGAGGCACCCCAGCGCTTGCTGTAGTGCAACAACAATAACGAGGCGTGAGATTGCACTGGCAATCGTCGGCCAGTTACCCCTGATTATGCATCGAAGCTTTAGACATATTTCGTTGGCTTGTCACACCCGAGGAGTTCAGAGATGAAACTGGTGCTCGTTTCTGTGAGTTGAGAACAGTTTCTTATGTCATATAAAAAAAACTGAAAGGTCAGCATAAAGTGACTAGACTGAAATTAAAAAAGAAGTCCTGTGTCAACTATGTATATTTTGTGCTTTTTTTTGGGCCCTGTTATTGATAATGCCACTTTCGAACAATACGTTTTTATTTGCAATGCCTGCGAGGTTCGTATCAACGAAATTCAATTGTACGTGCAGATAACACCTAGAAGACATTGTATCCTGAGAAAACTGTCGTTTACCAAAATCAGCGGGCGATGGGGGCTTCATTGTGGTCAGCGTCCACCATCCGTTCTCTCCGAGTTTGGACCATCCGGATTGAAACAGCAGCGGACATCCAGACGACAGCACTCCGGCGACGGTGCCGCGGAACGTCGCTGTCCGTTTTCTGCAACGCCATTTAAACACTCAGGAGCGAAGGGTACGTAAACTTAGAAAAGCATTTAGTCTTCATGAAAAGTATCCACAATGAGGCAGAGAGGAAACATATAGTGCATTCATTTGTGCTTATGTATATGAGCATGTACACACGTCTGCATAAAGTTTTTCAAGTTGAGCACTCCACTACACCCCCATTTCGTACATCAGGTGCACCGATGGAGAAGCTTGTGAGATTTCTCGGGGTTATTGGGTTCACACAAAAAAACACTTCCAACGGCTTTACCATGCATAATGTGATTGCTTTTTCATTTTTAGACTGAGTAATACACGAAGATGTCGTGTACCTTAAAAATAAACAAACCTCATCATTCATACAGTTGTAAATGTATTGTCCTGAACCGTTTTGTGTCTATATTTTCGTATCGCAACCTCTGTGATTAGTTATAGTAGCATACAGCCAGAGCCCATTGCAGAGGCCACGCGGACCAGCATATTTTGTCAACTGAACTTTTTGCATAGCTTCCACAGTGTTGCACCATAATTATGAAAAGTAACATAGTGACATGCAAGGTTGAGAACTTCCTAAATAGAACAAAATGTTGACAACCTTCTCTTTCCTTCAAATATGTGTACACATCTTAGTGCTTGTCAATGATCAACCAAGGCTGCCTCAAATGCATAAGCACTCTCACACCTGGCAACAAGCACCTGCAACATGCATAGTTTTTTTGACCAGTCACATTTAAGAGCCATTACTGAGCATCCACTTCGCGCCTGGCACAAACTGCTTGCACTGGGAGTTTTTTGTTTTTCACGTCAGGGGTAGGGAAGCAGGCTGTGTTGCATGAAGAACGCAGGCGAGGCACCAGGCTGAGGGACAGTAATCCCAACCACATGTGAGCCGTGTTCTATTCCTGCACTTTTGTCAGTCAGTCTGCAATGCAAGAGATGTCATCCCCAAATGACTAACAGGAATACAGACCAATAGAAATTTGAATGTTACATGTGCAATGCTACTTAGAGACTACCTCTTCCACAAATGTCAGGTGTCTAAACGTGACCTGTTCTTTCTTTGATGATCTGGAGGTGTGTGTGGTTGCTGTCCTTGTGTTGACCTATAGTGCTGCTAAATAACAGATTGAAGTCGGGGTGCCGCCAGAGGCAATAAAGTGTTGTGTACTTTTACATTAGAACACTGTCTATTTGCCGCGCCGCGCTAAACGCCTTATCAGTTGAGCGCGCGCGGAGCGGTGCGCTACACGCGAGTAAACGGAGTAGCGGCCCTGTGGCTCGCTAAGCGTGAACCCGCGGTGATCGTCCGCTGCAGTTAGAGCGGAGTCACTATAACGTGCAGATAACACCTAGAAGACATTGTATCCTGAGAAAACTGTCGTTTACCAAAATCAGCGGGCGATGGGGGCTTCATTGTGGTCAGCGTCCACCATCCGTTCTCTCCGAGTTTGGACCATCCGGATTGGAACAGCAGCGGACATCCAGACGACAGCACTCCGGCGACGGTGCCGCGGAACGTCGCTGTCCGTTTTCTGCAATGCCATTTAAACACTCAGGAGTGAAGGGTACGTAAACTTAGAAAAGCATTTAGTCTTCATGAAAAGTAGCCACAATGATGAAGAGAGGAAACATATAGTACATTCATTTGTGCTTATGTATATGAACATGTACACACGTCTGCATAAAGTTTTTCAAGTTGAGCACTCCACTACACCCCCATTTCGAACATCAGGTGCACCGATGGAGAAGCTTGTGAGATTTCTCGCGGTTATTGGGTTCACACAAAAAAACACTTCCAACGGCTTTACCATGCATAATGTGATTACTTTTTCATTTTTAGACTGAGTAATACACGAAGATGTCGTGTACCTTAAAAATAAACAAACCTCATCATTCATACAGTTGTAAATGTATTGTCCTAAACCGTTTAGTGTCTATATTTTCGTATCGCAACCTCTGTGATTAGTTATAGTAGCATACAGCCAGTGCCCATAGCAGAGGCCACGTGGACCAGCATATTTTGTCAACTGAACTTTTTGCATAGCTTCCACAGTGTTGCACCATAATTATGAAACGTAACATAGTGACATGCAAGGTTGAGAACTTCCTAAATAGAACAAAATGTTGACAACCTTCTCTTTCCTTCAAATATGTGTACACATCTTAGTGCTTGTCAATCATCAACCAAGGCTGCCTCAAATGCATAAGCACTCTCACACCTGGCAACAAGCACCTGCAACATGCATAGTTTTCTTGACCAGTCACATTTAAGAGCCATTACTGAGCATCCACTTCGAGCCTGGCACAAACTGCACGCACTGGGAGTTTTTTGTTTTTCACGTCAGGGTTAGGGAAAGCAGGCTGTGTTGCATGAAGAACGCAGGCGAGGCGCGGGCTTTTGTGAACGTGAGCACCCTTTCAGTTACCCACACACAAAATATGGCACTCCCTAGGGAGTTTGGGAACCAGGCTGAGGGACAGTAATCCCAACCACATGTGAGCCGTTGTTCTATTCCTGCACTTTTGTCAGTCAGTCTGCAATGCAAGAGATGTCATCCCCAAATGACTAACAGGAATACAGACCAATAGAAATTTGAATGTTACATGTGCAATGCTACTTAGAGACTACCTCTTCCACAAATGTCAGGTGTCTAAACGTGACCTGTTCTTTCTTTGATGATCTGGAGGTGTGTGTGGTTGCTGTCCTTGTGTTTGACCTATAGTGCTGCTAAATAACAGATTGAAGTAGGGAAAGGAAAAATGTGCTGTTACTCAATGAATATTAAACTTCACAACCTTTAACAAAGTGAGAAAACAAATTCAACAAAAAAAAGTAATATATCTACGGAGTGAGTGATGATGAATGGACGAAGCTTCGGAAGTACATCGGTAAACTGAATCTCACTTGCAGCCATTCTAGAGTTTCGAGGAGCCTGTCCCAGAGTACTTCCGTGGCAGAAAGCATGAGGAACGCGTGTGGCTTGCCCAGCTGGTGAATCATGCCAAAGAGCTCCTTGTGGCATTCTTGCTAGTATTGCATCGTGTTAGGTACGCCCCGCATGAAGGCCAGGTCTCGATTGAGCACTTTATCTATGCACTCGCGTCAGCCGCCCTCGAGCTGCTGCCACGTGAACGAGCAGGTGCTAGTGGGAGCGAGCACCGCAGCGCCATCTAGTGAGCACTCCGAGTACTAGGGGTGGCTACGATGGACAACAGTAGACAAGCTGACACGCTAAGGAGCTTTGCCCATAAAATTTCTTTTGCCCCTTAAATTTTTCGTACCTGTCTCCAAAGAATGTAGTCCAGTGCTTGTCAATGAAGCTGCAAATGTGCTCCCGCCATCGGAAGTAGCCAAGCTTCCCGCTGGTGCCACTCACGTGGAGGTTGTACAGGGTGAGCATGATGACCTGAATCCTGCAATCGTGTTAACGGTGAGAGGTCGCTGTATCCAAAGCACTCGCTATGTTACAACATGGCGAGTCAAGCTTGTTGATTAAAAGTTCCCGTCGAAATCATACAGAAATGCACTGGGACACCAACAAAACACTACAGATGCACTGTACTTTCTCCTTGTTGTAACCTTTCATCTGAGTGCTGGAATGCTGTAGAACCTGTTTAATGTGCTGTGTGCACGCTTTCTCTATTGTGCCAGCTCCTACTGCTATCCTAACTGCTCATGCAAGTGGAGTGTGAAAGATAGTGCAGGCACACTACGATTCTGTATTCTTGATGCAGCAATCTTTTCGCCCTGCAGCATGAAAACAGTGCATCCAGTTGACATTCAAGCGACATGCAGCTTTATTAAATGAAGGTACCTATGGCGTCACAGGGAAGTTGACACTACTTTTCATATGAGTGCAATGCAACTTATCAGGTTCAACAGGATGCATCTTTTCACAATCTTGTCCTTCGAGCTGTCACACTTTATAAATGCTACTGCTTTACTGACCAGTGTATCCTCTGAACAGTGTGGTTTTACTAAGTACTGCTCTGAAAGTCGCATCAATTCATGCACCTGCCACCACGGTGGTCTAGTGGCTAAGGTAGTCGGCTGCTGACCCACAGGCCGCAGGATCAAATCCCGGCCGCGGTGGCCACATTTTAGACGGAGACGAAATGCTTGAGGCCCGTATGCCTAGATTTGTGTGCACATTAAAGAACCCCAGGTGTTCGAAATTCCCCGAGACCTCCACTAAGGTGTCTCTCACAATCATATGGTGGTTTTGGGACGTTAAACCCCTATAATTACTATTATTAAAGTGACATAATGCGCTTCATTGTGCCACTTGCACATTTTCTTGGCCTCATCGCGACGTACTACTGCAAGTAGTCACTGGTCCGAACCATGCAGACCATTAGAGGATAGTTTAGTTCCAAGGAATGTTCTAGCACACCAGGGGAGCCCTTAACAATCTTGTAATGCGGCTCCACGAGGTTACTGGTTGCCTATGTTTTTAAGAACGCATTGATTTCGGGGAGGAGGGTCGAGTTCGAACTTTCGCATTGACCAGAAACACTTGTCCATGAGTAACAGGTGACGTTAGTTTACCACTGCATCTTCAGGCGCTCCAAGACCTCTACGTTATCCGGGGAGCATCGGTCGCAAGTCAGCTTGAAGAACAGGTCGCCGACAAGTGTACTCCGATTGCTGCTCTTCAGGCACCCTGGGAACAGTAAGTAGCTGTCAGTCGCCTCGTGAGGTCACAAGTGACCTTCGATTCAAAGCCTCATCCATACAAACTTGCCTGGATGAAAATAAAGCTTGCATTTTGTGCACCGCAGCATGTGCGTGGTGTCTACGTCCGCTGTACTGCAGTAACAGTGCAGAGAGTCCATGGCGCAGGATTTCCAGCATCGATTCGCTTGACGGAACTTGCCGAAAGTATTGTTGAGGAGCGGTTGCCGTGTGAGCGGGCTCGAATATTTTCCGAGCAAAACAAAAGTACAGATGAGTCCGTCTCGGAAGCGATCTCAAACTAAAAGCGTCATCTATCTACTTGAAAGCTCATTCAAATGCACAGATGATTCTGACGACGTCAAGCGTGACGCGGAGACGCGGTCATGTAGGCTGCCATATTTGATGTGCGTAACTCGTGGATGAATGAAATTCAACAAAAGAGGGCGTTTAAGTACTATTTGCTTCGAGCCATTCTAGCAAAACAGTGCAGCGTTACTCCAGTTGTTCGCTATCACGTGTGTTCTCTTGCGCTGCTCTTGCGCTGTGGTAACATATCGGCGGCTGCTCGTATTTCGGCTTCTTCGTCGGCATCGTTTTCTTGCTCGGACGATTTTTTCAATGTGAACGCGCAAATACGCCGTTACCCCGCCGCGTCGGGATTCAAATGAAGGAAAATGGCAGCGGAGGACGTGGAAGAAGTCAGTGTTACTGCCTTTATTTCCCGACTATGTTTGCAAAAACTGAAGCACATTTTTGTCTTCTCTCACTCTGTCGTAACGCCAAAACCGCAGCGTACGCGGCTGTCTTCCAAATGTGCGGGTGTCGACTGATCTCCTCCCGCGAGATATCGGAGAGTAATCGCGCGCTCTAATCTTTCTTTCTCTTTCCTCCCCTCTCCGTTCTCTGTGCTACTGCCAGGCGCGGCCTCTGTGTTTGTCTCTGTGATGCGCTTATCAACTTTCGCCCGGGCTCGCGCGAGCTGCGCGATTGTTTTTGCCTCGTTCCGTCGTGTCGCCCGGATATCCAGGAGCCACGCTACAACAATGCCCTTTCGAGAGCCGTTCCTTGCGTACGCGCCGCCCGGGTTCTAGCCTTTCGTGAAGATGTGAATCTTTCTTGTTTGAGCGTCGGAGTTACGATCGCACTTCCTGACCATTGTCGCGATGGTGTTTGCGTCCAAAACGCAGGGATCTTCTCCACCGACGCTGGAGGCGGACTGCGTGTACGTGCAGATGAAGAAGCAGTACCGCGTGTCGAGGTACATCAGGGCACACTGGTTCGTCAACCAGATCGGCAAAGTCATCCAACTCAAGCGTCCCAGCGAGGTACGACCTTACCCGTGCTGCTTATCGTCCACTAACAGAGTAGTTCAGAAAGTTTTTTTTTCTTTTTCAATATAGTGTAGTACATGAACACACAACATGACTGCAGATCAGAGTAAGACAAAACGAGGTGTACACACGATGCATTTCATGTGCACACGCACAGCATAAGGGATGCAATCCATTAAAATGCAGTGGTAAAACAGTCACATACACAGAAATAGTTTGTGTGTGTGTTGTGCATATTTCGTGCTTATTCACGTATGCTAGCTGTGCCTGACTTGTGATTGTGCAGGTTTTATGCTGCTAAAAAAAGTCATTTCCTTCGGTGCTCGGAAATATGGAAACCTGTTGGGAACAGTGGCTTGTGCAGAATTCGTGGAACTTGCTTTGGTTTTGGAGATCATTCGATTAGCATGTACAAAGTATTGTGCAAAGTGCTTATTGCACTTGTGCCATTACATACTCTTCTGTTACTCCAGTTACTCAATATAGTAAATTTATGCTTGCATTAAGATGTTTGTTCAGTGGCTATCAAATGCACTTGGGCAAAGTTATAAAAAATGACGATAGTACCTGCATCATTGTTCACAAATGTCTTACTGTATGTGCGGTCATTGCTGATACGAAACAGTAAAACTCCTCCCAGCAAGTGACTTCTCATTTGGAGGTTTGGCATTTGCAAATACCGATTATTGCAAAGACTGATTATTGGTGATGAGTATTGCCTATAGGATATATTAATTTCGTTTTAAGGTTAGAGGGAGTGCTCTTTTTAGTTTCCAGCACTGATCAACATCTCTGGTTTGGCGTAGACAGAGGCCCTGCGTGACGTTTCACGAGTAAGGGGAGTCTTGTCGACATCAGAGAAGGTTTGCGGGGAACATACAATACCCCAACTGGCACACGGCAAAGACTATTGTTCGTCATCCCTCTCGGTCTGTTGTCAGGCTGCTCTCAAGGTGGTTTAGGCTGCTTAAACCAGGAGTGCTTTCTCTCTCTTTCGTTTTTGTTTCATTCTTACCACCCGCGGTTCTCCCTATTTCGAAAACGGCGTGTTCAGCATCACTGAAGCTTGAGTGCACTAAGTCTCAGGTGCTCCCCCGCTGTGGGGGCGCTACTTTCTTATGGTATTCAGACAGGCATTTCAAACTGATGCAAAATCGTTCCAAAATAATGATGTTAGCATTAATTATATTATGCATTGGAGCATTTACTATTCAGGCACATAGCTACAAATTACTGTAAAAAAGTCGCAAATAAAACTTTCGCTGCCAGGGGTCTTTAAAATAAATATTTGGGCCTGATGTGCCAAAGCCACAGAATGATTACAAGGTACAGCATGTTTGGTAGGAAACAATGGATGTACTTGAACCATAGGTAGTTATGTCAATGTAAATCTACGTACGCAGGTGATATTATATTTCATCACTGTGAAAACGTGGCTACTAATGTGCTCTCATGTCCAAAGTGCTACATTGTAGCTGTTTAGCTATTGCCGTGGGTAGGGTTTGAAACCTTGACCAAAATGCAAGTTTAATCCCCGTGCTTGCAAATGCCGCTTTGCCCAGAAATTGTAGCCCAGAAATTTCATTCACAAAATGCTTTTCTTGCTTTAAAGGGCCCTGCAACATTTTTTTAGCATGGTAAGAAAACGCTGCCAATCGGTAGTAGAGGCTGCTGACAACACGCGAGCCAAATATTACAGCACAGCACGTGGCCTGGAATTCACAATAAATTATCAAAGTCAGCTGAAAATTTCTCTCTCTTCTCTCGACAAATCACGGAATATGCCCAAAAATCACACGTTAATTCCCCATTTATCAGCCATTGGCTGATTTGAACATAGCGTGCTCGCTCGTTACTGAGATCACCGTGGGAGGCCGCTACTTGTCCACGCGCGATCACACTGAAAAAGCGGCGCATTCAAAGAAAAAGAAAGAAAGAAAAGTGGTCTAGGTCACGAAGGGGGTGTGACATTTTTCTGTGGCCCTGCTTAGCTTCCAGCGCTTTCGTCAGGATGAGAGAAGAGAGAGTGCAATCGCAGCATGCGGCAAACCTTTATAACTTTACTCGTACTGGACGGATTCCTAAAATTTTTGTGACGTTAAATTTTTGAGTCAATAACCTTTTCCAGTGAATTCATTGCGTGGTTACATTAAAAAGCATTTCAGGGCCCCTTTAAGGGCATTCACTCCCCCATACCGCAGTAGATATTCTGAGCACCACAACGGCTTTTCAAAAATTACTTTGTGAATTTGATGCCTTAACTGAGTGCTGTGGTGTACACTGACAAAGGGAGAAACGTGTTTAAAGGAGCACGGACACACAAATTTGGACCTTGTTTCTTTTTTTTTTTTTGTTGCAATAGGTAGCTTATGACCCACTTGTCATGGCTGGAAGCCTAATTTGTGTGAGTGCACGAGGGTTATGTGTTTAGAAACGTTTTTAAAGTGCACAGTTCCATTTTCAGTTTCAAAGAGCACTGAGCTATATTCGGCAGCTACTTTTCTTGGCATTGTAGCGAAGACTACAGAGCCAAATCACGTGCATCCTACCGTCGGTGAAAGTAGTTCCACGATAGCGCCTGTATTTTCAACATGAAATATAAAAATTCCTCCGTTATTTTCTTCGTGGAGCGATCAGCGACAAGACGCAACTCACATCAGTCAGATATTCATATTTTTTTAAAATTTACTCATTGTAACTTCAAGTTTCTGAGTGCCCCTTTTTTACGTTTATTTCAAACACTGAGCGACGTCTGTGTCTTCACGAACCGCTGTTGGTGCTCCTCTGTCACTCTCCATAGCGTTACGAGACCAGCGCCACAACGGACTACTTCACGTAGTGCTGCACGTGCAGAAGCTCCGCCCTCGTAGCTTTTCCTTCGGTGCCAAGAATAGTTGTCGTCGAATATAGGCAGGAGAAGTTCCGGCGACAAGGTAAACACAGTTATCCATGTGACCTCGCAAAACTGTGATGTGAAAGGTATGCACGTGTAGGTGCCACACCGACAGCCAGCGCACGCAAAGCCGCAGGCACGGAGGAAGGAATTGCAGGTAGCGCAAGCAATCAGCCAATACAAATTTGTCACGCAGGTTTGTTACATTGCTGCCGCGTTGATGACATCATCGCGAGGGGTTCAGCATCTCGCTCATTTGCGCGGCATGCACTTTAAAATTTATTTTTAACATGTTCTAGGCTATATTTGCTTTTGTTATTTCGTAGATGTTGTGTATGTCTTCACATAGATCGATCCCGCTCGTTATCTCGACTGGAACTTTGTGTCAGTGCTTTTTTAATACAAAGAATAATTTAGCTTGAAACTGGCATCTATTGGCTATGAGACTAGCCCAGTCAGGGCTGAATTTCAATTGCCTGTTGTTATGGCTTCAAAACTTACATGTTTTGCTGGAAAAATGACGTAAACACCATAAACAAAATAATAGACATCTTACCTCAGTAGGCAAGCAATGAACAGCTTGACATGTGTGGCATGCTGGCTGATATTAATGCCGTTGGCACAAGCACAGTTTCAATCGTTATCAAGATTGATATTTTAGAGAGCTTGTGATATGAAGAAATATCATTATGAGCTTGTTTTATGTCCACTGCAGACTTCATGTAATCTGGGTGCTAGGGTGAGCACAGTTATTTTGTTCCTTGATATCCTCATGTCATTGCTTCGTCAAATCCTCAGTTATCCCTTTGTGCATGTTCTATTACCTTAATGAGTCATGCACTCGACACATTACATAATTTAATTGAAGCCATTGTAGTGGAAATAAAACAGAGCAGTTGAAAGGTGAGGCAGCACAGGTGCTACGCTCGTGATAGATCTACGACAGCCCCCTTAGGAGACCAGAAGAAAACTTGCATTACAGGACACAGGGCTGGTGTGTCAAAGGAAAAAGGGAACAACAAAAGGGGTCAGCGGTGGCGTTAGCTGTGAACAATACAGTACAAAGAGTCCCTTGGGCAATTTTCTACTTTCGTAACTACAAGAGAGGGCATTGATAGAAGAACTAAAATAAACTGCCTGTGCTGCTTTTTTTTATATACCCAGAGCGGTAGCCTAGTAGCTGTGGTGTTACACCTTTAATTTCAAGGACGCAAGCTTGATCCCCAGCCACGGTGGCTGTATTACACTCATGTTCCTAATTTCAGGTGAACATTCAGTAACCTTACATCGTGAAAATTGATGTGGATTCTTCCACTACGACGTGCCTCATAAAGTGGTTTTAGTGCATAAAACACAGGGCTTAACTCTTTCATACATGCTACCATTCCTTATCATCTAAGAAGAATGCCTTAGATGCCTCATCAAATGATAAAAGGAATCATCGGCATTAATGCGAGTTCTGCAGGAAAAAATCATCACTTGATGACGCCACCACATGACATCTGTGTCGTCGTCACGGCACCACATAATGTAGCATGTCATGATGATGTCATCGTAAGGCAGCATCACTTGGCTAAAGGTGGGCCAATCCTGAAGGCACTGCAGAACCATGTGAATTTTAAAATGTTTCCAATGCCTCCGACCTTGAATATCGTGAAATACGAAGTTGAGTGCAGTAAGCTTTCAGGGGGCTCAATTAATACTCAACTAAAAGATAAAAAAAAAGATGTGTTCAAGTCATCTTGCGCAAGTGCCTAAGGGACAGTGTGACTTTTTTTATGCAATGCCTGACATACTATGTTCCAACACTCATTGTGTGGTCCTTAGAGCTTTGAAGTTTTTTGTTACCGCATTGTATCCAAGTTCAGTGGTGGGGTCAGTTCATGTTAATTTGAAAAGTTTGGCTTACCTTCGCCGAGATTTCTCCCCTGCATTGTGATGAGAGATACAACTGCTATGTGATGTTAATGTACGGAGCATGTTCGTCAGATTTGCGATTGCGTGCTTTGCAGAGTGATCTCGTAGAGGAGGTTGAGGTTCTGTCAGCTCTTCCGAGGGACAAGCCAACCGGATGGCGACCGGATAGGTCGCACGAGTTTGCTTATCTTGTGACACCGGCTACCAAGGTCACTTTCCTTGCCAAGAAGTACCGCTTTGTCTTCTGTCTCGACCTCAGTGTCTCTATTGCAAATGTGGTAAGCATTGGTCTTTTTTGTCGCTTTTGGTTGACATATTTTATGAGAAGCTAGCATTAGTGATGGGGCTCCGGCATAAAATAATTACAGGAGTGTTCAACTGAAAACAAAAGTACGTCGTGAGGGTAGAAATGGCCAAATGTCAAAATGTAAAATGATATTGTATATAGAAATGCTTAGAGCAGGTTTAGTACAACCGACCTTTTGACAGTGATGTTATGAGACCTGTATTTGTATGTAAAACCATTCAGATTTAAATCGTGGTAGAATGATATGGTGGCAGCAGGCATGCAAATAATTGTATGAAAGTTTATAAACCCTTCGTATTATTCAAATAAAGTCTGTGCCCACCTTGTTGGCTTATAAGCCATGTAATTTTAAAAAGTTAACTGCATTGGCAAGTTGGTAAGAGTGCGTTTCTAAATGTTAATCGCACATAGAAAGTTAGGAAAGGGACGAGACAAACAGAGGCAAAGAGTTCTATGCTGCTCTGTGTCATTCTACCACTGGGCAGAAAGGTCATGTGTTTTAAACCTGGAGGAAATATGCGAAATTGAATGTTTGGTCTACACAAAGACCCTTGTTCTGTGTTTTGGGTGCACTTCGGGAAAATCCCTAGGGGGTCAAATTCATTTTAGAGATTTTCATTATGGCTTCCCTCATAACCAACATTGCTGTGTGGTTGTATTTTAGATTGACTTGATTCCTATTCACTTTATTGGGAACTGAAGGCACAAAAAGGCATATCAGAAGTCCCTTTCCTCTATACTGTTCAGTATTAGTACAAGAAGCATGTTCACAGCCATTGCAAATAATGTCTACGTTTTTAGAGCAGTTTGTAAGATGAGTTATAATAATAATTCACAGTGAAAGAATATGCGCTCATTCATACCCAGTAAAGTGCCAATTAGTACAAAGTGTGGTGTGTTACACCGAATCATTTGAAGTCTTGGCATCATAGAAATTAATATTTCTGGATTTATCCTTAACACATTTTGCTAAATTTATATTTAAACCGGGCTATCTGGATCATTGCAGTCTGCGTCATACTTTAACGGTTGGAGATAAAAGTGCAACCTGTTTATCTGAATTGCTTGAGTCTCTATCTTATTTTATTAGTGTTTGTTGTAGGTGCTGCACTTGTTTGTTGTAGGTCTGTCTTGGCCAGTATCTTTTTGGGAGAATTTCCATTGTCTCCCAGGGTGAAGGTTCGTTGCCTCTTGTGGCTTGCGCAGATTGCTTGTGTTGGCTTTCCTGTCCGTGCACTGATTCATTAGCTGGGCGACTGATATAGGGTGTATGGTTTGCGTGTCATCTTTGCGTCATACTGTGTGGCATGCTGAACATCTTGTTGTTATTACTTGCAGGACATACAGAGTGAGACATTCCTGTTTGACGAAGTGCTTTGCAACGCTTTCAAAATGTGTCGAGAAGCTTGTAAAGCCTGTGAGTACGCTTGAGTCTCGTTCCTATGAAATATGAGTGGTATAGGGGGCACATAAATAATTGGTAAACTACAGGTGATATTCTTTGCAGTCCTTGTATTTCATTGCTGGAATTTGGTCTTTATGGGTTCTTTTCCAGTAGCAGCTTTGAATGCGCTGACACTTATCAAGATACCATTAACAGGTCGATTTGAAACGAGTTGTGTGGTACTTTTTCATGTCGGATCATAAATAGGTGGACCAGAAATACGATGTCAGCAGACTTGGTCAGGGTAGCAAATATCTTGGAACTTAAATCTTTTATTAGTTTCACGTCCTAGGGTCTAGGACATCAAAGTGAAAATGACAAGAAAAAGCCTAGAAAAATGTTTAAAATAAAATGTGTAAATGGTACTGCAATTGCCAACTATACGCCTTTTTGTGCTTTTAATAAGAGCTGTGCTAGTAGCAAAATTTCAGGTGCAACACTGTATTGATTGCAAGAGTATTCTTCATTTACTTTGTTATAGCCAATATTTCGTTGTATCCGAGTTTGTTATATCGAGGTTTTTTCGAACGTATATGAATTCAAATCATACAATTTGTTCATGATGTAAGGCGAAGGGGGATGTTACATCACAAGGCTTTGATGCCTCTTCTAATGCCTGGACCATGCACTTACTTATGTGGATGTTGTAACACTCAGCGCACCTTCTGAACAGGCGCGTTTTCCTATGCGCACCGTTGCTGCAGTTCAGATCACATGTCGTTATTATTTATTGAAAAAAAAAAACAAACTAGCATAGCTAGTTCTCTATTTGCTGATAATGAAAAAAACTAAATAGGTAGCATTTTATCCCCATGATTAAGTATTAGGTTGGCATCGTGCAGCAAACCACACTACACTTTATGTCAGTTTTCTCCTCTTATTTCTCTTGTGACCAACTTGCGCTGCTGCTCACTCGCAGTTCAATGTTCCTGGGAGCTGTGTGGTTTTTCAGCCCGACATCTATGTCACCGTCATCGCATATATCCCCCACTACACCCCATCGGTGCAACAGGTAAGGACAACACCCTTGAACAATCTGGTGTTCAGTTGATTATTTTACATTCAACCTGGGTAAACTGGTGGTGCCAGAGGAAGGAAAGCAGTGTATCTCTCATATCCTGTGCCTAGTGTTTTGTGTTGTTTGTCATGTCAAGGAATAGCTCAAGTGAGGTGGAGTGTTCTATTTGAAGGATCCATTATAAAACCTTGCTCATGTGCGTTACGAATATATGTTACACATCTCATTGTAGTACAGCTGTTCTAAATACCGTACTTACTCGCGTAATGAACCCACGTTTTTTTTTCAAAAAAGTATATACCAATTTAAGGGGAGGGTTTGTTACGCGGGAGAAAAAAAAAAGTCAAGGCAGTTATAATAGCGAAAATTTCGGGTGACGACTTTGCTTGTTTTGACCTGTGAAATGCGCGACAAATTTTTTTTTTGTAACCCGAAGCTCTTTTTGTTTTGTCCTGTAATGAATGTGCATGGATCGACGAAAAAGTGTCGTCCAGTTGCTCCAGCGCATGCTGTAGCTAGCGTACCGGCCAAACGCGCCCTGCGCAGCAGGTGTCCCAACTAAGCTCACAACGACAAACCCAACAACGAAAACGCAGCGTCAAATGGCGGCATACAAACATTGTACAGTCAAACCTCGTTAATACGTAGTTAGCCGAGAATGACGTTTTGGTACACACTAAGCAATTGTACGAATTAATGGTCAGTGCCAGTTTAGCGGCTACTTACCGGTCAGAAAAGAAGGCCACAATCCTCACAAACACGCACGCGCACACACACGGGCACGCAAGCTTAATTTAGGGACAGGCAGCAAACAAATCCGTGATCTTCACTTGCCGCCGTGGTGGCCTTGCCACGACGACAGTGTCTTCGAAGCCAGTGAGGCTGCGCTTCTTGGCAAAGCTTGCATCACAGTTGTAGCACGCACAGCTTCGGACAATGAGGGGTCCATCGTGCACTTCGACGTCGCTCTCCTCCTCACTTTGGCTTGAATCAGGACGAGGTGCGATGGCGGCAACAATGTCGCTGTCGGAAAAGTCTGGAGATGTAACGTCGTCTCCGTCCCACATCTCGTAAAGTGCCGAAGTTCAACTTGTCGACTCCCCCTTCTTGCCACTCGAGCACCTCAACGAAGAGGCTCTCGCATCCTCGTTGTCGTCGTTGCCTTCTTCTGGCATCTTGAATTATGCTCGCACGAAACAGTTCCGTATCATTGCAGGCTGTACCTGCATCCGTGAGGGCACAAGCAGGTGTGTAGCACACAGGAGGTCTATCGTGTCCGTTTTGTCGCTCTCCATGGCGATCAACATCCTGGGCAATAGATTTTCGGCGGTAAATCTGCTTGACAGAGCGGATGATGCCCTGATCGAGGGCCTGGGCGAGCACTGTTGTGTTGGAGGGCAAAAACAACAGCTTAAAAGCCGACAGGTTACCCACATCAGCATGTGCCAACGCATTGTAGAGTACTATCAGTATGCTACTTTTTTTGGCAGCAAAACAGCGGTCCAGCTGGCGCACATACTCCTTGAACAGCTGGGCTGTCATTGTGCTTGTAAACAACGCCGGATGGCAGCCGAGCGCTTTTGAAGCACCGCGGGTTTCCATACTTGCCAATGACCATCAGTGGCAGCTTCTGACTACCGGTAATATTTACGCCAAAAGCGTCCGATATGTGAATTTTGGCATGTTTCCAGCCGGTGCACTTCTCGTTCTTAAATGCCAACGTCCTGTTTGGAAGTAGGCAATAGAAAAGTGCTGACTCATCAAAATTTAAAATGTCAGCGGCATTGTAGGCTGTCAAGGCTTCCTGCAAAACGGTGTCCTGCCATTCAACAGCACCTTCTTTGCTGCAACAGCCTCACCACAAACAGGCTTCCCCACGATGCCGTAGCGGGCTTTAAACCGTGATAACCAGTGGTTGCTGCAGGCAAAACCGGGGCAGTTCAGCTAATCTACGAAAGTTTGGGCTTTTTCGAATAAAAGGGGTCCGCTAACCGGCAGGCTCATGCTCCGCGCCTTTTTCAGCCAAAGAAGCAGGGCCTTTTCCATTTCGGCATAAGCAGAGTCCCTGATGTGACTCCTCTTCAAATTGCTGCCTGCGCCACCTGTCAGCGTTTCGCAAGTGTCCGAATTCCGCACACAGGCGTCAGCGGCAAATTCTTTTCGCGGACTACCGCAGATTTCTTGGCCCCATTTTCAATGGTGCGAATGATCTCAAATTTTTCTTTTACACTCAAGACGTAATACTTCAGCATGATAAGATTTAGTGTGCAAATTCAATCGCGCTCCTCGCTCACAACACAACAAGAATAAAAAAAAAAAACCGCAAAAAAACACGACACTTCGCACAAGAAGAATGTAGATAACACAACACCACCACACAGCTGCCATGATCAACACTGCTGAAAAGTGAGGACTAAAAGATTGAATCAAGAAATGTGTTCAGCCTGGAGCGCTGTTGAGCCGTTTAGAATACGTACTTGGCTTGGATTGGAAAGCGACAGCCGAATTCGTACCCCCTACCGGGAGCAGCGACCAAGAGTTCCTGGGTTACCAAAAACCGGCCATGCTTTTGCACAATGCGATTGGCAACATTGACAACGTGGCCAAGAAAATACGACAACGTGGCCAAGTTTTGACGTCACTATCGCTGGCTGTTGTAGCATGAAGAAAGGTCCGATCGTCACAGCTAGTGTACTGAACGTTGCGCGCACGAAATTTTGCCGATTTTTGGCCTGTGCATGGAATGACGAGAACAAAAGAAGTACATACTAATCGTATGTAACACCACAAGTGACTACGGCTTAGGCAGTCAGCCAATACATGGGGTTCAATGGAGAGTGGGTGTGGGATTCCTCACTACTACGTATAAATCGCAGTTACATATTAAGCGGGTACGTATTAAAGAAGTTTGACTGTACAGTAAAAGCTCGTTAATTCGGATTTCACGGGACCGGAAAAACTGTCCGAATTAACTAATGAACAGGGAAAACAGCATTTAAAATCAAGCTGCAGAAGCATACCTTTATTTGTTGAAGTATTTTGTAATTGCCGTCTGCGTTTTCGCCCAGATTCCGGCTTACATCACAATTTTTCTTAACTGTTCCAAATGACCAACGCCACGCAAGCTGTCAGGAGTGTTCAGGCAAGCGTCCTCTAATATTAACAGCGCCTCGGAGACTTCCTGTGAGGTGCGATGAGGTCGCGGCTGTATGTCCTCGCATGATTCTTCGTCGAAATTGTGGTCTTCATGGGCGCCCGTGACATCATTAATAATCTCTTGATCGGTCAGGAGACCACTCGTGGCGAACACCATGATCAATTCGCGATGTAGTCCTGAAAGGTCACATCTGTGGGAAGGACAGCATCGAAAGTCGGGCAGTCATCGTCGGTGGAATCGGCTGACACCTCCTCGATGCCATCGTCAGCTACTGCTGCATGCTCGGGCCTCACAAAACCGCTGTGCTGAAAACAGTTGGCGATGACTTGCGGCAAAGTGTTTTTCCACCCGTGGGCAATGATGTGCACTGCGCCGAGCAAGTCCACTTGATACACCTTTCCAGCTTCTGAGCATAGGATCATTCGCTCTAGCAGGGGCTTATGGTACTTCGACTTCACGTAGTGAATGATACCCTAGTCCATCGGCTGAAGAGCAGACGTAGTGTTGGGCGGCAAAAAAAACTACTTTGATGCTCTTCAGTTCGACTGTACAGTTATGGGCCCTGCAGTTGTCAACAACCGTAATTATCTTGCGGTCCTTCGACGTGAAGTGCCGGTCCAACTGCTGCAGCCAGCCACGAAAAATGTCCGATGTCATCCATGCCTTCCTGTTCGCTGTGTACTCGACAGGAAGGCATTTGACGTTCTTAAAACAACGTGGCTTCAGCGCCTTCCCGACGACAAGTAGTGGCAAGCGCTCCATGCCAGTAATATTGGCGGCAAGAAGCACAGTTATCCTTTGCTTGCACTTCTTGCCACCAATGCACACATCCCCTTTGAAAGTCACCGTCTTGTCGGGCAGAGCTCTGAAAAATAGAGCAGTTTCATTTGCATTGTACACGTCACGCGGTTCATATGTGGCGATGTGCTCCAGCAGCTTCACATTTCTCCACTCGGTGATCACGCTTTCGTCAACACTGGCCTTTCCGCCGCACACACTCCTGAAGACAAGTTCGTGTCTCTCTCGAAACCTCGCAAACCACCCTTCTGACGCTTTGAACGATTCAATGTTCATCATTGCAGCGTACTTCTCATCTTGCGCCATGATGAGATTTCCGCTCAAAGGCAGACTGCGCGTTGCGACAGTTAGTAATCTACCGCAGCAAAGCTTCTTCGAGCTGGGGATGAGCTGCGGTTCGCAACCGCTTTCTAGAGGCATGAAACTTCTCGCTTTCGAAGGCTTGTCAAATCTGTTGTTAATTTTTCACGTACGTTTCCAACGTGCTCCGCTTCACGTTGTACTTGGTCATAACCTGATGTCACGATTCGTCGTTCTTCAGTGCTTCCAAAATTTTCACTTTAGTCGCCAAGTTCTTCGCGTCGTAGTTATGCCGCTTTTTCGGCGTTGCCATCACTGTAGCGCACGATGGTGGTGGCATGCAAGTACGGTCACAATGGAAGAAAAAGAGAATTCCGCAAGAAGAGATGGTTCTGACATGACAACTCAAGGGAAAATGGCGTCGCAGGCGCTGAGTGGAGAAGAAAGAAGACGCCGACGTTCGGTGACGCTGCGATCGCCCCCACTAGGTTGATGATGATGGTGATGCCACTCAGGTTTCGGTTTCACTCCAGTGGTGCCAGCGCTGCTTTATCACAATTTTGTGTAGCAGCAGTCCGTCAGCATTTGTCCGAATTAAGCGGTGCGGAGCCGAATTCTGACGAAATAACGAAGGTTTGGTCCCATAGATTAACATGCACTTTGGCCGGGACCAATAGAGCCATCCGAATTATCCAAATTTCTGAATTAACGGTTGTCAAATTAACGAGCTTTTACTGTATTAGACATTGTGGGTGCACAATGCGGCATCTGATACGGTGCAATTGCGCTTTGCATAGGTCAGAGATAGCGAGCGTGCGGAGTGTTTCATGATGCAGTGCGAGCACAATTTTGGCTGCCACGCACTTTGTTTTTGTGCCGCTGTGTTTGCGTGGCGCTATCAGCAAAGAAATTTCTCCTGCATTCGACAGATGGCGCTTTGCCGTACAAGGCATGACTTTCGAATTTTAATTTACGTCATCTGCGCTTGCACTGCTCGCAACTCTTTAGCATGATTGCGTAACTATCTTTGGCTTTCATTGCGTTGTTATTTTGTCATACAATGACTTGATTTAACATTGTTTTGATCATTAACGGCACTGGTTATCATCCCGTAATAAAATGAACAGATACATTAAAAAAAGTTTTTTTCCTTTTCTCAAGGATCAAGGTAGGGGGGTGGGTTGATTATGCAAGGGGTTTATTACGCGAGTAAATACGCTATTGTCACACACACAAAAATAATGATAAGAGTGACGTCTGGAGGCCTATAAAAGAAAGCTAGTTCTTGAAACACAATTGAAAGAAAGGCTATTGCTAAAACATAACAAACATACTTAAATTTAGGCATAAGTCACATTGAATAAATGGGATGAAGATTACACTACTGTACAGTAGGTGTGTTGTTAGTGGTCAGCTTGAACGACGAATAGATCTAGATTAAGCCTCCAGACACATTTGGATTTGTTGCTAGTATGCTTGTGCTATCCACGTCATAGTACACATTATATCCTAACATATTTTGGCCTATGTCTCATCATATGAAAAATGGAGGAAAAATTGCAATAATTGGTTGCATTTGTAAATTTCTGCGCTGCCATTTGCCGAGCAATGGTGCTAATAGGCCCTCGGTTATTGCTGCAGATCATAAATTGTGGTCGCAAAACTTGGCACGATATGCAAAGCCTGTGCTGGCATGCTCCTCAGCTGATGGGGAAGCATGTTTGAGTAAAAATTGTAGTTTTCGCAAAATCTGAATTGATCTGTCGGAAAGGAAGAAAGCTTTTTAGCTCAGCATGTCTGTTGCGTCATTCACTGCTCCAACGATGCACCGAAAGTGAGTGGGAATCATTAGAAATTATCATTGCTTACCATCAAGCTGCCAGCACTGCATATTTTTTTCTTTTTTTGCCTTATGGAGGCTTATGTAACTTGTGGATAGTCTTGCTGGTGTTGCATTGTTTTGCTGCTGCAAAGCGACCGGAAACGTTTCTCTCGTGTTGCTCGCTAGCAAAGGTGTGATGGCTTGCGTCTCTTTTCAATTGCCTGTTAACTAGGTCCTGATTCAAGGATGGCCGTTGACGCCCGACAACTGTGCCCTGTTCTTGAGCAAGGTGTCGGCTGGACTGAGTGAGATCTGCATTGTCCTAGCGGAAGCGACAGCAGGCGTTGCGGAACTCCATGACCACCTTAGAGTTAGTGTCGTCACTTTCGTGGAAAAATTAAGATATTGTGTTTGGGAAGAGATGTAGGTCTTTCATGTAGCAGTAATTGGGTGTTTAGAGTGTCATCTGAAACATTAGAAAATACACTCAAACATCATTATAACGTAATGAGATATAACAAAATAATGGATATAACAAAGTAAATGAAATTCCCCTTTGAAAGCTCCATTGAGAACTATGCATTTTAAATCTCATTGTAACGAAGTAAAATTGACCAGTAAATAATATATTGAACTAAATTAGTCTATCAAATGGTCTATAAAAAAAACAACTGTAGTGTGTTAGGTGTATCGTTTTCTGCGGAGTTTGATGCTCGTTCGGCGCGGCTCTTTCATAACTATCGCACCGACCTTACAGCCACGCTACGCGCGGTTGAGAGAGCCGTCCTCCTCTTACAGCCAGCGGAGAAGATTGAGGAAGCGCTCAGCGGGTCACATGACCGAGAAGCAGCACTGCGGTGCACAGCGGTTTCCCTCTCTGTGCCTTACCGCAACGACTGCGTCTCCACTGCTACCCTCTGCACCGAGAAAGGATGCCTCTCCGCGACAGCTTTTTTTTTTCCCTCTCTGTCTGCAGCGCAGCCTTAAAAGGAGAAGGGTTTCTACGTGCAGAGACGGAAAAAGCAGAAGCGTGGCACAGGCTGCGTCGCAGATCGGCATTTAAGAGAGAGCAAACAATCCGCCACAGTTTTTTCTTTTCTTTCCTTTCCTCCTTTGCGCGCAGCGTGGAGAGGTGTTGCCGCGTGATCTGGCATGGTGCAGAGAGCATTTTCAGAGCGAGTTATGTTCGAATTAACTTTCGCATGTGCTTGCGCTTTCGAAATACAGGGCGTTTTCGTTCATTGGAATACACATAGCTTTGACGGGACCTCAGCGTGAGTTTGAATTGACCGGAAGTTTGAATTAAGCGTGTTAGAAACAACGAGGTTCAGCTGTGTGTATTTTCCGTCGCACACGTGGTCGCGTAATGGTACATCAGGCCGCGAGGCGGTTTCCTTTTTTGCATGCTTATAGGTGTGCACCCATCTGAGCATACATTGCCACAAACTGTTATAATTGATATAACAAAATAATGGATACAACAAAATAATTGTGGCTCTCCTTCAACTTCGTTATAACGAGGTTTGAGTGTATACTGTACTGTACTCATGTATTGAAACATGACATCATTAGTGGTATAACCACTACTACAAATTATTTCTTGCAATAACTGCAGCATGGCACTGCAAATCTTGTCACTAAATATATTGGTGGCTCCGGCATAAGGGTTCCAGTCAAAATTATGCTGTTATGACACGAACACTCAAGGGCTGTAATGAAACTAAGAGGGTTACTTAGCCCTAAATGTTCACGTTTCTATTTGTGAGTAATGTTCAATAAAATCTCATTAACTTACTGCATTACATTACATTACAGATTACTGCATTAGCTGGTTGTTATTTATGAGCAAAACTCACTAGCCAAGCCCCCGTTATGCTTGAAATTTATTCTGTAGCTGCAGTTTGTCTTGCGTCTAATAAGTGCTTGCAACTGTGCTTGAAGTACATTCCCGTCTAAAAAACCGCCTCGGTTGCACACTGTGTACCTTACCATGAAATAGGGATTAAAAAGGTTCGTCTTAATCACTGCTTTCTTTCACACAGTATGTCTACTGGGGGATAAAGCTAATGCGTATCAAAAAAGACAGTGGCTCATATGCCATACTGCTCATATGCCATACTGAGCTGAAATGTGGACGCTATTAAGACAGTCCTAAGCGTTTGCAGCATTCTTTGGCTGTAATTAGCAGCTGAATGCTTACTGAATGTTTTCTTTGAAAGTGGACAGTAGTGAATGTCTTATTTCTTCTCGCACGAGAAGGTAGGGCACTGAAGCCTCACTATCTGTGCTGTGTCATTGGTGGAACAGCTCCAGTCCGAGAAGCTGACCGGTGGCCTGTTTGAAGAAAGTGATGAGCAGGCATGCACCACACCGCTGGTCAACATGGTGTCTTCGGACGTGAGCACGCTGAGCATGCTCCGGTATGGCATGCTGGCCCTGCAGCTACTGCCGGAAAACAGCAGTGCGGGTGAGGCTTGTGGGGGTGCTGACACCCCCCCTGTAAAGTTGTCTGCGCCGCGGGGCGCACGTGTCTCGCCCCAAGGCTTTGTTTCGGTGGTGACCACCGCCGGGCGATAGATGGCATTGTGTTCGCTTTGAGTACCACTGTTGGTAGAGTGGTGGCGCCGGCGGTGGCCCCTGGCGGAAGGCAGGCCTTGGCGGTGGGCGAGCGTTGAGCGAGTCTCTTCTGCGCGTGGCGGCTGCCGCGAACGGTTGTCTGTAGCGCGGGTCCCCGGTGCTCGGCACCGCGGGCTTCGCGCCGGGGTCCCACGTGGAAGGTCAGGCGTTGGCGACGCCGCCTTGGGTATGTGCTAGTGTGTTGGGTGTGTTAGTGTGTGTTTATCATGTTATTGTGTGTTTAGTGTGTCCCTGCGTTATGTTGTTTGTATGGTAGCGTGTTAGTTGAAATTGGTGTATCATTCGGCGGACGATATCGTCGTCTAAATTAGTTAATAAATGTATGTATGTTGTGGGCTTTGTTCCGACCGTGTTCACTGTGTCCGTCACTCCAAGAGCGTGGCGTGGCGGTGCGCGCGTTCGCCTCGCCGAGACCCCACACTGGTTGCCCAACGTGGGGCTCTTGGAGTGTCGGACGACAGTTCTTGCGGTTCGGTACAGGGATTTTGTTAGAGCCGGAGTAGAGTAGGCCTAGGGGGGACTTCTTTGCTAGCGTCGGTGGTGTGCTTTGTTGAGAAGCGAGGGGATTGGTTTTGTAACGGGTTTCAATTTGTCGGCAGGTTGACTTTCTTTTTTTTTTTGCTCGCAAGTGTTCTTATTTTTTGTTGTTAGTTTTCAAAAACGTTGTTGAATTAGGACGAGAGCCATGCGGTCCGCATCCTGGGGTGAGCAAGGCCTAGAGCACGTGGTTTGTAGGCCAGGCCCGAAGCGAGTGAGTACGGAAGCCTCGTGGGTGGTCCGATTTTCTGTAAATAGCTTCTTCTATCTCTTTGGGCTCAGGGAGCCGGGCGTCGTTGCTGACTTGTATTGCGGCTCGACGCCGGGACGTCGTGACACCGCCCGGGGCGGTGGACGCCGATCGCTCGGTAAGCTGCTGTGTGCGGCGAGCGATAGGGCCACCTCACAGAGTGGACGTCTCCTCGCGGCTGCCTCTCCTGCGCCTAGGCTGGGTGCTGGGTGGATGCCGGTTGTTGCCGAGCGACTCATTAGGCCTAAGGCTCTGCGCAGCCGCCTGTCGCACGTGGCACAACTAGGTGGATCGTAGCGTTGAGGTGTTGCGCTCT